GCAAGATTGTTAGAATTGCTATTGTAAACATGAGCAGTTTCGAGCATAAACATAAAATTGAAACGAGTAATTTTTACACATCTGATTGACTAAATTCAGGAAGCCAATTAAGTGTACGCGTATTTGTTACAATTCCGATCAACTCTGCCGTGCAGCACGGCAGAGCCAGAGTAAATTGTAAACAAATTGTAAGCTTGTGAGAATCAGAGTTCAAAACTCAAAAATATTTACTGGGTACATGTAAAACAAAGACCTAAAATCTAAATTCTCAAAAGTAGCTTTAATACTGTCAAATTTTCCGAAGTCTGATTTAGTTGTTTCAAAAGTATAGAATACACACACACTTCTGTATGGATTTCGTACATGTTCTGCATGTCTTATAAAAATACAAAAATTGTCCCACTTCCGCGGTTTGTTGTGATTTACTGTAATTTGTTCTGTTTTTCTGTAGCAGTTACCGATTTATCGGCAAATACCGCGATAAAACGTAGTTTTCTTTATTTATTTTATTCTACAGCATTTATAGTTCTACAGCTATCTTATACAGTTTTATAATATAATAGTGAATGATTCCGAATATTCAAAACGGATTGAAAGAATGAAAGCAGTAATTATGTATAACGGTTTAAACCGGCGTAGGCCGTACAGCACACTGCTCACTGGTCACTGGGACGAAGGATAAACCGAAAATTCACTTCTCTCCATGACAAGCTTTTATAATCAGTTCAGTCGATCCGCTACATTGAAAGATGAGTACTTGGCTATTTTTTGGCAGGGGTAACGAAATATACCGGCTGTTCTCTAAGTGTTTCTTAATGCGTTGGCCATCGGAATATACTGATATAACTACATAACTCATAAGCTTGATAGATATGTGACGAGTTTCACAGGCACAATCCTATTTTAAATACTATGGCTTTTGGCAGTTTTGCATCATATGTGCAGTAAAAGCCCCATTTATCTACTTCCTCAACGTGTAAAACGCGAAAAAACTTTATTAATAAGAACAAAAATTTGTAATAAAAATTTGTAGTAAACAGTGTATTTTATTATAAAGGATTTTCGTTTTTCTACTGCTCCGTAGTTCGTGTGCTCCGTGCTCCGTGTGCTCCGTGCTCCGTACTCCGTGCTCCGTGTGCTCCGTGGTCCGTGTTTTACTAATAGCCCTGCTCGATTGGTTTTTTTCTTATCTATATAATCGTCGACAACGCGTTACTACTCTTGGTGCAACGTCTTCTGAAAAACCAGTGTCTTCGGGAGTACCTTAAGGCAGTATATTAGGCCCCATCCTGTTCCTCCTCTATGTAAATGACCTACCTGATGTTGTCAAGAACTCAAGTGTTGCCTGCTTTGCTGACGACACCAAGATCTATCGTCGCATGGATTCTATCTGTGATGCTGATTTACTCCAAACTGATCTGAGTAACCTAGGCAGTTGGTCTACCTCCAGTGGTCTCGCCTTCAACCAACTCAAGTGTAAATGTCTGCGTGTAACGAAGAAAACCCAGCCCGTTATTTATCCGTACATGATCAAGGACAACGAACTTACAACAACATCAGCCGAAAAGGACCTGGGAATTTGGGTTTCTAGTGACCTTACGTGGACCAAGCACGTTCTGGAACGTTGTACAAAAGCAAACAAACTGTTAGGTTTCGTGAGGAGATGCGGTAGAGAAATAACAAACACAAGGACTCGTCGCACACTTTATCTGTCAGTGGTTTGCCCTGCATGTTCTTGCATATGCAAGTCAGGTATGGTCGCCCCAGTCCATAGGTCTCATCAAACGAACAGAACGTATCCAGAGAAGAGCTTCCAAGTTCATACTGAATTTTCCCTTCATGTGTAGTGAGTCTTACCGTGATAGGTTGATCACTTTAGAACTGATGCCGTTATCGTACTGGCATGAGTACATGGATCTTGTGTTCTTCTATAAAGCTATAAATGGGCTGGTTGTCATATCTGAAGATGTTCTCCCTAAACCGATAATCCCCACGAGAGTAACTAGATCTTCCAGTGCCAGTGAGTTATCATTCCGCCCCCCAAAATGCAGGACTAGGGCTTTCCAGCGATGGTATATTACCCGCGTCACGAGAGTATGGATTGCCTTCCAACAGACTTAAGACAAGTTTAAGTACATTTAAAAGTTTATTACGACAATATTATTCGAAAGCCCTGCTCAGTTGTTTTGATGCAGAGGACCCAAGAACATGGAGATCTATATGTTTAAATTGTAACTCTTGTCGAAGTTTGACCAATGTTATCAACTGTTGTTTTTAGATATCTGCACGTATCTATGTAACCTATATGTTAAAAGGGCCCGCAGTAATTGGTTTTAACTGTTGTGGTGTCCCCGGCATTCGTCACTTGTATAGTTTGTATTTGTATTTGTATTGTATGCATGTCACTCGTGTAATTTTACCTGGCGAAGTTAAATAAATAAATAAATAAATAAAGAATACAGAAACCATTTTAATGTTTGTAAGGACATTAAAATTTAAAGAGCATCAATACCGCTGACGGGTAAACTGTTTTCGTACTCAGCAGGCATAACCGATCGGTCTTTCCACCGTATTCTAAACAGATTTCCCATACCATAGGAACGGGCACGTAAGGACGATATGGAAAATACCCACGACTCTGCGAAATCGTCGGGCCGTCCCAAATTAATGCCGAACAACATCGGAGGTCAGTGCACTTTTGAAACCGGGCGTAAGTTCTTGGCTTCTCTTTTCCATTCCCTTTATTATAGTATATTAACTAATTATTAAATTTTTCGAACTTTGGTTTCGGCTCGTCCTGAATATGTGGTTCTGCTGTGTGATTAGGTTTGTCCGTAGGTCTGACCCTACAGTATATGTAGTAGAATCCTCCTAGCGCAGCTGCTGCGACTCCGGCGTAAATCTCCGAGTCACCTTGATCGGAATTATTTTCAGCGCTACGTCTTTCTACAGCTTTCCTTGCTTTTGCTACTTTAGATATTGCGGCTAGTCTTCTACCCGATTCTACCCTTCTTGGATCCTTTGGTTTTTGGGTCTTTTCTTCCCCTGTTATTGTTGGCTCACTCATCTTTTATTTAGTATACTTACTTTTTTTTTAAATTCTAGTCAAATCTAGTCAAATTCTAGTCAAAGTCTAGTCAAATGTTGCTTGAGCTAGTTGCAGCATAACGTTAACTAGATTTTAGCATAACTTTAACTAGGTTTAGCATCTAGTCAAATTCTAGTCAAAGTCTAATCAAGTGTTGATTGAGCTAGTTGCAGCATAACTTTAACTACATTTTAGCATAACTTTAACTAGGTTTTGCATCTAGTCAAATCTAGTCAAATTCTAGTCAAATTCCAGTCAAAGTCTAGTCAAATGTTGCTTGAGATAGTTGCAGCATAACCTTAAGTAGTTTCAAGGTCATCTTAAGGTAATCTCGAAATCTATTTAAAGAAATATTTTATATATAATAAAAGATATGGATCTTCTTAAGAAATTATTGGAAGAAAATCGTCAGTCACCGTAAGTCGAGGTTGGACGCCCTCAAGTGGTTGGATATTTTCAGACAAGCGGAAAAAGAGTACCTGGATTCCCTTGGTCCAGAGAAGCCGGAGGAACAGCCGATGTATACCGGAGTGTCTGACAAACACTTTTGCTTCGAAGGACATGCATAAACATCAGTTTCTTGGTATAAACGGGGAAAGGACGTGCAACAACTGTAGATTTATTACAGGACCCACCCTCCCTGTCCCAGACTACGATTGTTGGGACAACACAATCATGAAGTACCAGAAAATGAGCATCAGCGATAGGTTCGAATCATTCTGTACTAGAAGAAAAATAACACATTTTGATCTATAGGCGCGCGAGAGGCGTCTGATAGAAGAAAATATTCGGGAAGTCCGTAATGCAGAGAAACCTGAAAGAAAGACGCTTCCTAACCTCAGCATCCTAACCTACCAGATATGTAAAAGACTTGACATAGCAATCAACGGGAAGTTTCTTAAGATTCCGGTAAGCAGAGTTCCACACGATCGATGTAAAAAAATATTCCAGACGTTGGGATGGGAATATATAGAGTATGGTTGTCAGAACAAGGCGACGGTAAAAGATCCTACTAGCTAAACAGTCGTAAAGGACTCGGATAAGGATGACATAAGTTTTAGGTATGAAGGTTTCTGTAAAAGGATGAAAATAACGTATTCTATCCTACCAGTAGAGGACAGGATAAAATCATGGAAAATATCACAAAGGTCGACAGGGCAGAAAGACCCAGGAAGAAGACGCTTCCTAATCTCAACATTCTAACTTATCAGATATGTAAAAGACTTGGCATAACAATCGACATGAAATTGCTCAAAATTCCGGTAAACAGAGTTCCACACGATCGATGTAAAAAATATTCCAGACTTTGGATTGGGAATACATCGAATAATTTGTACGCTTCCTACTAAGCATTAAAATTGAAATAGTAATTTTAGGGCGATGATGACGAGAAGAATTTCAACCGTTATCGGGATGGGTAGACAGAACACCAGACTCATCCACGTTAGTCTCCGCAATATTTGAGTTTTCGTAATTTATTTTAACGTACTTTTTTACCGTTGTGCTGGCGTATCCAATTTAATTGGGTGTGAACGTTGATAGTGGGATCATCGCGTTCTATACCGATTCCGAACACTGAACATTTTCCTTTTTCGGTGGTTTTTGTCGTACTTCACTTCATTTGTGATCTCAGGTTTTGCGAGTAAACATCCCATTTTATTTACTCTTCTTTTTATTTTCCGTTGACTTCGGTTTTTCTTCCTTTGCGGTCTTTGCCGACGGTCCCGCTTTATTTTCCTTACATGACGTAACGTACTTGATGTTGGTTGTTTTGGATTTAACGTAACCGAGATTTAGTCCACCTCTATTGAGTTTTATATCGACGTTTTATCCTTTTTTAACTTTCCCTTAACCTTGCTGCTGTCGCTATTCATTCTTTTATTAATACGAAAAGAAAATCCATCTTGAAGCGATAACCCCACCAACGAACATAGTGCCGACGAGGTAAATCAGATTCTTTGATGCTTTCGGTACGTTTACCGTGTAAGGATGTGGTATGGGGTTCTGGTCTTTGCGTGGTATAGGGTTTGGATTTACCCCGGAACTCTTTTTTACCTCCTTAGGGACCGTTCATTATTTATACTTGGGGTTGGTACCGAAGAGAAGCGAAAAACACTGTACATTTTTTATTTACCCAACCTCAACAATGGTAAAAATAATGTTTACCCAACCCATATGTTACTGTACTCCATAATAATTAAACACACAAGATTATGGTGACAGAAATCAAGTTGCCTAAATCAGGGCCTTTTTTAAGAATTTTCCCGTGGGGGGGCATTTTTTGAAAAGGGACCTTTCTGTGCGATAATATATTACAGGGAGATAGCAATGGCTGAAGGCCACGTGTGCGCCGAACATACCATGCACGCATGAACGAGGGGGGTGTACTCCCCCAGAAAATTTTTGAAATTTGAAGCACAGAAATGCCATTTCCTGCATTCTGAGCATCCAAATGCGCTCCAAAATGAAATAAAAGAAGGAAAAACCCCACAAAAAGTTAAAAAAAAATATTAACCATAATTTATCATTACTTATTAGAGGAGGATCCCAATGGTCACGTGTGTGGGGGTGTACTCCCCCAGAAAATTTTTGAAATTTGAAACACGGAAATGCCATTTTCTGCATTCTGAGCATCCAAATTTGCTCTAAAATTTATGCTAACTATACTTGTATTTGAAATAAAAGAAGGAAAAAATGCACAAAAAGTAAAAAAGAATATTAACCGTAATTTATCATTATACTTATTAGAGGGGGATACCAATGGCCGAAGGCCACGTGTGTGGGGGCATAATCTCCAGAACATTTTTCAAATTTGAAACCTGGAAATGCTCTTTCCTGCCTTCTGAGCAACCAAAAAATAAAAAATTATTAACAATAATTTATCATTACTTAGTGGTAGAAAAACGTAACAATTTAGATCGATTTTGTTAAACAAGGACAAAGGATAAAGCCTAAAACTTACTTTCCGTTTATTTATTTGTTATTCTTCGCTGTTTTGTTGGTATACATTTAGGAAAAAGGGACTTTTCCTGGGGGGGCAAAATGTGATTTCGTGGGGGGGCACAAGGGGGGACTGGGGGGGGCAAATGCCCCCCCAGCTTGTATGTTAAAAAAGGCCCTGGCCTAAATTCTAAAAGCTCACTCACACTCAAACTCACCGAGTGTGCCAAAGCAATCACGTTCCTGCTGATGGCAATGATAGAGTCCTTCCTCAATCACGGATGGTCTATTTTGGTACAGAATGTATTGTACACATTTTTCTTCATATTTTCCAATACTTGGTAATTTTGGTTTTATTTTATTTTATAGCTAACAAACAGCCATAAATGTTTTTTACCCAACCCATGAGCTAGTCAAAAACTTGATTGCCCAACCCATATAGTCTTCGGTACCAATCCCGGGTATAAATAATGAACGGTCCCTTAGGCTTTGAGTAGTTAACATCCGTATTACTACCAAACTTCATGTCCTTTGTTGCTAATGTGAGTGTATTCAGGGCCGTAGCGAGGGGGGTATTGGGGGGTGGTTAACCCCCCAACTTTTTTAGAATTAACATATTCGGAAAATTAGGTGGCCATTCGGAAAATTACGGCAGTAATAGTATAACAAAATTTTAGTTGTTTAATCAAACAGAGAAAATATTATAAAATTGTATTGTCAGTATCATAAACTGATTTACAAAATCACGGCATTTACATGGATAACATTTAACAAATCGTAGATCGGTAAACGTTTTTCGATTTATTACTTCGCAGGGCCGTAGCAACGGGGAGCCCTCGATATATCTTTAAAATACTGACAATTGATTAATTTTAAGCGACTATATTACCCATGACAAACCGCAAAGAATTATATTACCCATATACGCCTTCGCCCATTTAGTGCTTCTAAACTAGACCTTTCCCCTTTTAAGTGAAATTTTGGTCTAGACAAGTCTGAACAAAAATATTCCGAAGTTTCGTTGCGAAATGTTGTAAAATGCGGATAATATAGCCTTGCGAAGTTTGCCGTTTTTCAGTCATTTTGCATTACAAACGGGAAATTGATAATCAGATGATCAAACTAATATCAAACAACCGTTGACGACCGCGAAGCCGAAGAAGCTAGAACGGTGGAGGAGGAAACAAGTTTCATTGACGACGGAAGACGGGACGACAGTATATTAATTCCCATCGGGTTCAATCGGGACGTCGATGGATCAAGACCTAGCGGTTCCACACCAAACATCAGGCGGAACGTTGGAGTAATGAAACGGGCCTATACGTTGGATAAAAAGGATTTCCTCAAAAATGAACATGGAGTAAATATCAATAAGGGAGAGGTTCCATCTTCCACCATCATCTTCGACAAAATAAAGCTAACCGTAAATAAGGCCGGAACAAAAATTAACGGTGCTACATTTAAAGATGTCAAGATCATTATCTCGAAAAATGGTAAAATGATATACTCCACGGACAAGAACAAGGAATCCGTCGTAAGCGAATACAAAGAACTGACCAGGAAAGCAAAAATAGAGCATTCAAAAACACCTGCAGCCTTAGTGGAGGAACAACTCGAACGACAAAACCTAGATGCTCCTCAGGAACTTGTGGATAATGTATTAGAAAATATCGTTGAAAGAATGGATGATGAATTATCCAATCAAAGCGAAGCTATCGGTAATAGTAGAGTTATAACGGGAAACGAACTAAGGAAACTGAGAGGTATCCTGAACGTAAAAGGAAACTTAGGTAAGCAAAAAATTGAGTATCTATGACTATCTCGTGAACAGAAGGCCCTCTTGTACGAAGCAATGGCAGACATGGCAGAATTGAAAGCGGATGAAATAAGATTAAGATCAAACGAACGACCAAAAGGACCGAAAGCCATGTCCATCGTAGAAGAAGAGGTATAATTAAACGATCTTACAAGGTTCGAAAGATTTAAGAAATGGGCAAAAGAGAACATATTTGGAGTATCAGCCGAAGCAATATCTGTGGCGGGTATCATCACCACGATTATTATGGGGGCTAGAAGCGTAGCAAAAAAGGTAGCAAGAGCAACAAGCAAATTCGCAAAAGCAGTGGCAAACCTAGCCGGGAAGGTTGGACCCGTGCTAGCATCCATACTAAACCTCGTCGCTAAAGTTCTGTCATGGGGAGCAAAGGGCATTGCGTTCCTAGCGAAGAACCTCCGGATTTTAGCCTTAGCATTAACCTACTTCCTGTACAACGAAAAATAAACACTATATAATAAATGAGTAACACAAACGAATTCATCGTACTCAGCGCAATCGCCGCAATTGCGGTAAAACCGCTGGGTTTCA